GCTTTGACCTTTACACAAATTAGTTTACATGCACATAAGAATAGGTGACTGCATTTCTGAATCAATGGGTATAAGCCATGCAATAGGTGATGGTTTATGAACAGGGCTAGAGTACATTATGACTGTATACGAATGATAAAGCAAGCCTGTTGTTATCTACATAGCATCAACCTCCAAGCTAGGCAATCAAAATGACTAATGCCTCTGCAATCTTAAATGGGTAAATCAGGATCTGGATTTAATAGACCTTGCAAATATTAACAACCGGGTTTGATATGGTCACATATTTCTTGTTCTATTTTATTGCTGGAATCTTCAGCCTCAATTAGACATGAAATATTAATAAACATGGAGGCTATATGACAATAGTGGAAGAAGGTATCTGATGTCTTGGCCACACTACATATTTTAAATCATTCAGTTGATAAAAATTGTGTGTGAAAGTGTTAATTTACAGAAATAACCCTCCCTAACCCCAAAGTGAAAAGAGTCAGTAAGTGATCTCAAAGCAATATCAAGACAGGGTAAATATAACAATATATGGGTGCACAACTTCTTTATTGGAGGGAAGCGATGTTTTGGTGTAGGTTGGCACAGGTCCTCAAAGAAGTTAAATTTCATGTTGGGGGACAGCCTTGCACACTGTATCCATGTAGATAATTGGGACTTTCAGTGAACAATTTAACCACTAAGCTACCCACTACCCCACTACCACAGGCCTTGTTATATGGCCTCTGCCACTACTAAAAAGACAGTTAAAAATCACATCTGATTTGTTAATACATGTATTACTACAGTCAATTTGTCATGTCATGACAGGCTAACTACACCAATGTGAAACAGTTCTTTTGAGTAGTGTATGCATGATTCATTCATGCATTTAAAAGCTATTTCAACAAAAATACAAGAACTATAATGCTTCTGATTATACAGTCAACTTATTTACATCTTTGTACTGTTAAGGTCAGGAGTATTATGAATACAGTTTACAATGGACAAATAACATTAGCTGAAGGAAGAGTAAAAACTCCATACTAGTCCTGTTAAAATAAGGCTGGTATTGTTGATATGGTAATGCGAATCCTGCATGGAAGAGGGCTAAATGAAGAGGAGTGTCTGTATGGGTTATATCAGTTTCAGGGGGCACCTGCTGACAGACTAAGGGGAGGCATGGGGTCTCATCCCTCGTTACAACCAATTTGGGTGACTGGGAGCCCACCATGGTAGACATTACCGTAACTATTTTATTAACATGAACAAGAAAATATAATTCTTTGAACAGTACCTAAATTGTAAATAGTAAAAAAACACAGCTGTGAATTAGGTATGATGGTGGGTATACATATACAGCCTAACATTTCTTAAATATTTATGAACCCTCTAGGATACATATTTGCTGCTATTTTATTAACAACAGAATAAAATGTTACTCACATGAGGACTATAAAATGAATGTAGTTTTCAAATTGCAGAAGTGAAGCAATTTTGTGAACCTGATTTTACTTTTATGTGGCTTGAAATAAAACATATATCTTTGGACTCATTTTACAGTTAATTTTGATCAGATCAACAACAAAAACAAGTCTTAAAGCAAACATTAAAGAAACAAAGATTAAGATTTATCTTAAGAATTTGATGTTCATGTCTACACACACCAGATGTCAAGTACCATCACGTAGTGTTTGTATTACAAGGATAATTTTGGCTATTTGGGAGAGGTGAGCTACACGATCATATGATACTTAATTCTGGCCTTGATTCATGGATACATGAGTATGATTCACTATGATAATTGGTTTTATTTGTACACAGGCACACCCGTTAGGTGTATCCTGTGCTTAATGTCCACTTTAAAGCAATTGCCTTGTGAATGGATTTGGTAGGTTGATATACAAAAAATTGTCTTATCTTGACATATTGCTAAAGGATGAAAAATCAAGTAGTCTCTCACAGCAGAATATGTCTGATAACATTTACATTTCAAGTTGATGATAATATAGATTAATCCAAAGCTCTAAGTCTTTTTCATTTTGAAAGAATATTGCAATTTATTTTGAAAGAATACTGCAAACCTTGAAATATAGAAATAACCAGGGCCGGGAATATATGATTTATATCACCTGTCTAAATTGTGAACTAGCAAACTTTACTACTTCAATAAAACTTATAATGGTCTTTTTCATTCCCTCCCAGTACATTAATTGGATGTACATTTGCTGATAATATACATGATACATACTTTCTAAAAGCTAATCACAAGAACTAGGAACTGAACCTATTTTAATAAAACCAGTTTAAACAGATCACCACACATGAACATGGCAAATATTATAATTAAGCTGTTTGATCACAGCCAGTCTGTAGTTTAAATACTTTGCCAATGTCATAGAAACATGCATCTTGAAACACGCTTGGCTACTAATGGCAATGTGGACCAATCACCAAGTTTGGTATGTAATATTTTGGTACAATAACCTGGCAACCTTCCATGGGCATTGTGTAATGTAATGAGCAATGATTCTGATACAGTAAGCAGAGCGTTATACAGCAATACAGCTTCATACAGTGCCACATAGCGAGCACTCTTACCCTGTTTATCATATGAAGTATTCGTGAGTGCACGATTTGGAGTTTTAAAATGGTTACAATCAAAATAAACATTCTTTTGGACACTCTATTTGTTTAATTTGATTGTACTTCAATGTGTGGAACTTGACAATTAACTGCGCCAATGGTGCAATGGCACAGCCTAGAAGAAAGTCTAATAGTGCTTCATCCATGTGTTGTCATTAGGCATTGGGAAATTTTATGCATCTATCATTCATTCAGTTGTTAAATCCTGCAATGACACACACAAATGTTTCTCAGCGGAAACTTCTATGAGCACAAAATGAATGTTGCCAATATGGTTGCTATGATGGCCATTACTTATTTCAAATCAATTCAAATTGATAAGGGGGCGGTGGGGTAGCCTAATGGTTGAAGCGTTGGCTCGTCACGCCGAAGACCCGGGTTCGAATCCCCACATGGGCACAATGTGTGAAGCCCATTTCTGGTGTCCCCTGCCGTGATGTTGCTGGAATATTGCTAAAAGACGTGTAAAACCAAAGTCAGTCAGTCAGTCAAATTGATAAGCATATGTTTAGGATATCTCTGCTTTAATTCCTAGGCAATATTCCAGCAAGGCTAAGGAATGTCAGAAAGATGTTTCAAAAGGTTTGTAAGGACAAAACATGACCTCAGACGAACCCAGTGAAGTACTGGAAGTTGTCACCATACTCTCAGAGTCCAAGGGGCCTAGTAGTTAAGCGTTTGCTCATCACGCTGAAGACTCAGGTTCTAGTCCCCACATGGGTACAATGTGTGAAGCCCATTTCTGGTGTCCCCCATTGAGACATTGCTTGAATATTGCTTGAATATTGCTTGAACATGGCTTGAATATTGCTGGAATATTGCTGGAATATTGCTAAACGCAATGTAAAACTAGTCCAAGGAATATGTAGGATTTTACTCTCTACATGCCACCTTTGTAGCAGTATCCACAATTCTAAATCAGCCTTCACAAATTTTGCCCATGCAATTGCAGACTTCACAAATTGTACCCATGAGGACAACAGATAGCAACTCCTTCTCTGACATGAGAGCTCACACCCACAGGCCTCTCAGATGTCCCATTACAATGTGGATGTCAGTTGACTAGAATCTAGGCACTACAAGTATTCCAATCAATGACAGATGAACCCAGTATACTGTACCTACCTCTTCAATGTGAAGAGGTACAGCTTGAAAACAGTGTATTTTCCCACAGCCCACAATAACATTCTGTAGGGCCGACCTCAACCCTTATCAATCATGCGGACACGGGTCACTCCTTGCCACTCAAGGTAAAATTGCCATATATCATACATAAAATTATACCTCAGTCTACTCCATACACATCCAGCAAGCCAATCTTCATTTATTTTGATAGTACATCTCTATCATATCTACACATAATTGAGATGCCTAGCCTAACCCTAGCTAGGCTAAGAATGTGACTTCCTCCAGTCCTCTGTTTTCTGGATAAAGGCTTATATAGACAAATTTACATAAGGGTTAAGTCATGAATTATAAACACAAAATGTCACCGCCACAGAATAATAAGTCTTCATTATCTGCAAAAACATGGGCGTAAAAGCCCAAACAGTGGTGAAGATTACATGAATGGTTCACTGATGACACCAGGTGTCAGGGCTGAAAATAAGTTTAAAATTGCTAGTGTACTCCGGTACAGTGGCACAAGTAAAATCACTTGCCCTGATAATTTTTCCACTAAAATGGCCGATTTTCTTGTTGATTTTGTAATAAACAACATAACTAACATTGGAAAGTCAACTGGGGACCGGTACAGTGTGATAGACAAATATGCTTGCCCGACAGAAAAAAACACTGGACTCGGGCATCGGGCAATGGGTTATTTCCACCCCTGGGTGTCCATACATAGTTAATAGTTATAATGAAGTATGAAGGGAAACCACTTCTTAATGATGACTGACAATACCTTGAAGACAAATGCTGTCCTATATTATTTTCAGGACCATACATTTACTTTCATTTAAAATCATTCAAGACAAAATCTATACACAAAATAATGTTTAAAATATGTTTTTCAGTGATATGAAAATACTATTATATATTTTATCTGTACCAGAGTGTCATACAACAAGATTAAACTATGAGTAACCTAACCCGAAAAACTGATGCCTGCTCCTTGTGTCATGTTGAAACAAATGGCGATAGAATAGAATAATCTTGTTCACTACAAAAGTCGAAATAACTATAAACACCATTAAACTACACATCATAAATCTGAGATGGTGGAGCTTCTTCTTCCTGCATGGTGATCTATCATGCATGACATAAAGCACATCTCATAAACCAAGTTAACAAGGAAGAAGAAAAGAATGATACACACAATTGGCAATTAGACTTTGCTAAGTAAATCTTTGTACTGTTTCCAGGTGACTGGTGGTGTTGAAGTCCCTCGAGACCATCATACCTGATAGGTAAGTATTTTGTCATTGTTGAAGCACATACTTGTCAGGACATGATTGTCAGCAGGCCATTCGTAGGATTCATTACTACATGTCTAGTTAAGGTGAAGTGATATGGAGTTTGTCATTCCGTCGAAGAGTATTTCCCTTATACAGCTACATGCATGTGTGTGTGTGTGTGTGTGTGTGTGTGTGTGTGTGTGTGTGTGCGCGTGTGTGTGTGCATGCGTGTGCGTGCACATGCGAGTGCATGTAGATGTGAGTGTATGGCTGCTTGTAGTCTAGACTGGTTTTATAGTGTAAGCACATTGAGACACATTCTGCCTGGCTGACCTGACCTTGTTTTATTCCCCTATTAATGCCAAGCGCCAGGCAGGGTAACAAGTACCACCTTTTAATGTCATCTGGTATCATGCTACCAGGGAATTAACCAGTGATCTTCTGCTCTCAGGACCCGTGAAGGTCCGGGTTAGAATATTGATCTTCAGTAACCCATGCTTATCGTAAGAGGCAACTAAAAGGAACGGGTGGTCAGGCTTGCTGACTTGGTTGGCACATGTCATCGGTTCCCAATAGCGCAGATCGATTCTCATGTTGTTGATTACTGGATTGTCTGGAATATTGCTGAGTGTGGCGTAAAATTAAATTCAGTCACTGCTCTTTCGGTAGATGCACTGTCCACTAGAGCATGGAGGCAGTTACCTAGTTAAGATGACTTACACACCATTACATTGATACACAGATTTGTTTTCATTCTGGAGCAAAAAGGGAGTTAAAAATATATGCCTTCCACAATTTAGGTTTGTCAACCCTTCCAAATTGTATCCAAATTTTTTCAAGAATTCTTCAAAATTGTATATTTTCTTGCCCTGAATCATCCATCATCATTTGCGACCTCCACTTGGAGTGAGTGAGTGAGTTTAGTTTTACACTGCATTAAGCAATATTCCAGCTATAAGGCGGCAGTCTGTAAATAATCGAGTCTGGACCAGACAATCCAGTGATCAACAGTATGTCTCAGCATCGATCTGCGCAATTGGGAACCGATGACATGTGTCAACCAAGCCAGCGAGCCTGACCACCCGATCCCGTTAGTCGCCTCTTACGACAAGCATGGGTTGCTGAAGGTACATTCTTACCCGGACCTTCACGGGATACACAATACCACCTCCACTTGGAATATACATGAGAATTATAAGTGACTCGGTGAGTGAGTTGTTGTTATTTTCATCCTGCCTATAACAATGCCAAAGCCTCATTGGGCTTTGCAGTCTAGGAGTTGTAGCATGTCATGAGCAACTGTGTAAAAACCATTTCATATGCGCAAGAGCTGAGTCAATTGTATGATTCAACTATATCATAAGCATGTATTCTGAATTACTATGAAATAGTAATTATGACAGATGCTTGGCAAAAGGTAAGTGCACCCTTCCCTATTGGTTGTGAACACATGGAAAGACAGGTCAATAGTTAACATGAGCCACAGAGGAAACAGATCTTGTGGAACAGAACTTGAATACATTCCAAGGTGTTTTGAAGTGATGTCAGAAGACATATGTATGCAAGATGTAAGATCAAATCATGTGTAGCACTTAGAATACCTTTTCCTTATAAATCATAGAAAACGTTCCATTGGGCACAGCACTCATGGTTGTAGTTACCAGTAAGCTGTAAAGATGGCAACTCTTGGCTCAAATACTGTCACTTCCAATTTGCTGGGTGAAGATAAGACGGAAAGGCTGCAAATTCACCATAGTGCTAAAAGAGATCAAAATATTACTCAGAGGATAAACATAGCCCAGTGGCCACCACCTTGATGTGCATTAGCTAGCATCGGTACCTTATTGGATACATTTCGAGCTCTGGGTGTTGGTGATATTACATTCTAGACATGTTTGCCCAAAATGCTACCTACAGGGACAGAAGTAGACTAACAACTAGTCTCTGAAATGAACATATTTTACTGAAAAAAGTTTGTAGTAAAAAAATATAAAATATAATGAAAAGGAGCCCTGAGCCTTTCTTCATTTTCAGAAGCTGAGGAAATCTAGACTTGCCACATTTTCTAGACTTGTGTGGGCTTTCTTGGATATATTTGCTTCACGGTCTGTACGACATACTAGGACAGAAGGAAACATGTTGTTTCATTACGGGGAATCGACAATGCTGTTATATGATTATGGCATCCATTATATTTTGAACATCCTTGCTTGAATTTGCAGGGTGGGGCATAGATGTCCCAGTTGTCTATGGGGTAGTCTGTCTCACAGTCGCTGAGCAATAATATTCTCCCTTCCGCCTAGCCCTTTCTATAATGCAAAAGCTCTAAAAGAAGCAAGTCTAGATTTCCCCTATTCCTGTATCTCCCATCTCACAGGAGCCTTTTGTAAAATTTAAATGAATTTATTTGTTCTCTCAAAATTACATATATTCTGCAACTTAGTGTTCATTGGCAGTGCTGAATTTACTGTGCTGAGTTGCATCACTTGGTCTTACCAGAAATGACCATGGCTTTGAATTCCTGTTTGCCTGGTTAGAGAGTGAGCAAGAGAGTTTCGTTTTATGCCTCTTTTAGCAATATTCCAGCAATACCATGGCAGGGGAAACCAGAAATGGGCTTCACACATTGTACCCATGTGGGGAATTGAACCTGGGTGTTTGGCGTGATGAGCGAATTCTTTAACCACTAGGCTACCCCACCACACCTTGCCCCGATTAAGTATCAGGGTTTGCCAGCTCCATACCTGCATCACTCTGGCCTTTCCTCCACATACAGCTGACATACCACAGCTTGAATATTCTCTTCCATGTGGAATTTAACCAAAATATTATGAATTTATAACATTCCAGTCATATAATATATGTTTTATGAACCAATCTGAAAGTCACACTGTTTCTGACTAGTAAAAGTGCAGACCAAAATGGCAGCTACAGCATTGCACTCTGTGCAAAATTCAAGGAAAACCAAGAAAATATTTAATAGTGTGGGCAACCATCCAAGACTGACTGACTGACTGAGTTTAGTTTTATGCCGCTTTTAGCAATATTCCAGCAACATCACGGCTGGGGACACCAGAAATGGGCTTAACACATTGTGCCCATGTGGGGAATCGAACCCGGGTCTTCGGGGTGACGAGCCAACACTTTAACCACTAGGCTACCCCACCGCCCCCAACCATCCAAGAACATAGGACAATACAGGCATTGCTTGGCATGTGTCCTTTATCTGAATATCAAAGAAGTTACAAATATTAATAAGTACAAATTATTATGTTTTCATGAAACACCGCGTAAACACAGGCACGCAAAATGAATCATAAATACTTCCTGCTTTTTACTTCAATGCATGGAAGTTTGAAACATTTTGATGACAAACCCTTTTTTTGATGAGTGTAGGTGCTTAATGGAGATTAATGAGAATCATGAGTGAAGTTGAAGAATTGAAAGTAAATTTGATTATGTTACCTTAGCAACCTCAGCTGGCCTGAATGTAACCAACAAGCTTAAGAACAAAATAAAGTCACAAGTAATGGCATTTTCCAAATATTTAGTTCATTATGGATCATTTATATGAGAGAAAATTGGTGCATTTTAGATGTTTTCCCAAAAGAAAACCGCAAAAGACAATATTCTTGGCTTTATATATTATGGTATGATTTGATTGGTTGGTTTGTTGTTTAATGCCACACTCATGTATCAACGAAGTCAGCGAGTCTGACCACCCGATCTCGTTAATTGCCTCTTGTGACGATTATGATGTGAGAATGTGATACAATGTGAGAAGAATTTGAAGGTTTTATGCTAATGGACAGATGAATGGATGGAAATCCTGATGCACAGCTAAGGGGCATAACTCTTCACTGGCAATTACACAGTCTCAGGCCACTTGCCCAACCATTTCCCATAGTTCTTAGATGAAAAAGCATGTGTCCTCAATCTCCAGATCTCCAGTGTCTGTGTCAATAAGTTTCAATCTGAAAATAGGAATATCAATGGCATACGATTCTCGTATGGTGAGATAGGATCACGTCCTGTTCCAAACAACCTAAGTACTATGACTATCTCGACTATCTCGATGTGAAAAAAATGGGAGTAAATCACCCTGGCACTAAACTAGCTTTGTGGAACAGGGCCCAGGGTGTTAAATATGTCAAATACGGTACTTTTTAGATGGCCAACCTGAAGTCTGGTGTCTGGTGTATTGCAGATAACCTTTACATTCTCTGTCTTCTACTGTCTGGCAGTGTTCGGAACCTGTTGAGACATAACAAATTAATCACACTCTTCACAGAATGTCTGTGCACATGAAGCATTTATAGTGTTGGGACTACTGCAAATAACATTGCCATATTATAGTTGCCAGCCTTTCAATTCCTATTGAAGTATATCATGAAATGTCCACAAGAGCCTCTACATGATTCCTCTTGTCATCTTGAAGCATGTCATACAATGTCATCAAGAGCTTCTTCATGTAATCCTCTTGTCATCTTGAAGCATGTCATACAAAGGTATCAAGTACTTCTTCATGCGAACCTGGGGCGGTGGGGTAGCCTAGTGGTTACAGCGTTGGCTCGTCACGCCGAAGACCTGGGTTCGAATCCCTACATGGGTACTATGTGTGAAGCCTATTTCTGGAGTCCCCTGCCGTGATGTTGCTGGAATAGTGAGTGAGTGAGTTTAGTTTTACGCCGCACTCAGCAGTATTCCAGCTATATTGCGGCGGTCTGTAAATAATTGAGTCTGGACCAGACAATCCGGTGATCAACAGCATGAGCATCGATCTGCACAATTGGGAACCGATGACATGTGTCAACCAAGTCAGCGAAACTGACCACCCGATCCCGTTAGTCTGCTGGAATATTGCTAAAAGACGCGTAAAACCAAAGTCAGTCAGTCAGTCAAATTGATAAGCATATGTTTAGGATATCTCTGCTTTAATTCCTAGGCAATGATGTTGCTGGAATATTGCTAAAAGCGGCGTAAAACCAAGACTCAGTCAGTCAGCCATGTGA